AAATAAAAATGGAGTAAACACGGCTCGCTGATAACTGCAATTCTTTTTGCTTTTGTAACTTGTACTTTACTTGCTTGGCTAACAAACTGTTGGCCTAATGGCCAACTCGACCTTTAGTGCCGGTGGCCCCAATCCTCGTAAGTCAAGGCCCCAGCCTTATTAACCCATAGATAATTCAAGATCAGGGTTCTGGTTGTCACAGGTGGCGCCAAATTGGAGGCCAGACCAGAGGAGAGTGGACAGGGGATGGCAAGCCGAGATAAGCAAGGAATGCATGAACCTTCCTCACTCGCCTTTCGAGCTGCTGTAAATTGTACCCCACCCTTGATGCTGCGTCCAACTGCCCCGTTTAAAACTTTGTAATTGTACTGCTTGGGGCTGCACCCCGGTAAGGAGTATAGTATTGTCCCGGCTGGCGGGTCGGTTGGTTGCCTTGCCTCTCATTTATAATAAAATTTTGTTGTGACTGTCACTGGTGATTGTAACATTCTGTTTTAGTGGTTGAGTGGATGCAACAGAAAGTAGAGCAGTCAGGATACAAGAAAGTGTCCACATGGGAACCTGGTGCTTGAAGGTGGAGGATTAACCAATTGATGCATTGTGCAGGGCCCAGGAACCTATTTTTAACAAATCCATCCAGAAACTATGATGTAGCTGGGCAATGGTTTGGCATTTGCAATCCTCAGATCCAACTCACTACCAAATATGAGAAAGCAAGATCAAACAATTGTCCCTGGTTAATCAGAAGAACCTAATTTTAAGAATCAAGGGTTATGCATAATTCATCTTTTGTCTTATGACACAGAGCTAAATTTTATTTTGATTGCTAAAAATTTCTTTCTTTACAGGACCACCTACTGGTTCACTCTGCAAATGCACTCAACAGCTGGGGCTGAGACCTGTCCATGTGGATCCCAAGGACCCACTCTTGGGGCTCATCAGGATCCGCATTAGCACAAACCTGTAACTGGGAGCAGCACCAGGCCTCCACACCAAGCACTCTGATGTGGACTGTGAGCTTCTCAGCTGCTGGGCCCTTCTCAGCTGCCTGCCCCTATGGGTCTCAATTATTCTCTTCGTATTAGCCCTTGAGGTGCATGGCTGCTCATGAGGTTAGAAGACACTCTCTTCTGGCTTTGAGATGGAGCTGAAGTACATCTCAAAAAAATTTATCCCTACAATCTCTTTCTGTGGTAACAGAAATGTTCTTCGAGTGTGACAATTACATACCCTGTGACCACACTAAAAAAAAGAAAGAGAATTGTACACTTTAAACGAATGAATTTTATGGTGAATAAATCACATCTCTATTTTTAAAAATTACTTAGTCCTCTGAACTAACACTGACGGGGTATTTCAGGATAGCAGTTCCGTACAAATGAAAGATAACACCAACCAATTGCACAAAGGCATAGATTTCTACCTCAACGGTCAGGTCTTTGAATTCCAAGAAGCTCTACCAATAGAACCCAACCTGCCTCTTCCATGTTCCAAGCATTAAAAGCAAAGCATGTGATCACCTGGGATTAGATCGAGAGAGCAGGAATTCTGAACCAGGGGTCATTATGCTCCTAGAAGATATTTTTAGCTGTTAAAACTGGGGAAGTGCTTTTGGCTTTTAGCAGGTAGAGGCAAAACACTGCTCTAGAGCAGTAGTCATTAAAATGTGGTCCCCAGTTCACTAAGAGTAACATGTCAATTAAATCCAAAGCATGAGAACTATTGCCCTGGTAGCAATCTTAATGTTAAATAGGAACACAATCAAAAAAGTACAATGTTGCTTGTTCAAAGTCAGGCTGTGGGAGACATGGAAGAAGCTCCTGGCTAGCTCCTGGATTCGTATCAGCTTAGCTCAGTTCCGGCTTTGTGGGCCATCTGCGGAGTGAACCAGCCAGTGAAGATCTCGCCCCTCTGTTTTCCCTTCTCTGTAAATCTGCCTTTCCAATAAAAACCAAAACAAGTTTTTTAAAAAGTTGCTACAATTAGTTTGAAACAAAATTAAGGTTTGAACTCAGATGGTCTTAACATCAGAATCTGTACTCCTTTAAGAGTCATGCTATACTGATCTTATATTTTTCAATGTGACTTTTTAACTTCTATATACCAGTAATTCCTTTTCCATAAATGCATTCATTCATTTAAAAAGCAGGTGACAGAATGAAGGAGAGAGAGATCTTATAGCCACGATTGATTTCCCAAATGGCCATGCCAGCTGTGCAAGGCCCAGAACTCCATCTGGGGCTCCCAGGTGGTACTTAGGCCATCCTCTGCTGCTTCCCAAGTGCTTCAGCAGGGAGCTAGTTCAGAAGTGGAGAACAGCATTCTGACATGGGTGCTAGTGTCACAAGTGGAAGCTTAACCCGATATACCATCACAGCCTCCCCAGTCAGTGACTGACTTCATCCCATCAGAGGACATCGCAGCATGGCCCTGGCAGAGCACAAAGAATGGAATGGGGGAGATGCCACACAGTCTGTACACCCTCCCTAATTTGATCATCACTTGTATGCCTTTTATAGGCTGCCAAATAAGTAACAAGAAAATACTGAGAACATGTTTAGGCTTCCCAGCCTATCAGGGAAGCCTATGCGATGTCTCTGTTTTTCACTTGGCTTCCTGTCATTAACATTATAGGTTCTTTGTCTTCTAGTTTCTAAAGTCTGGGAAAATGAGGTATTTTCATGGTGATACGTGTACAGTTCAAGACATTACGCTCGACAGGCAGGGCTGGGGGGTGGCGGAGATTTTCAGGTACATCCTGCTGAACCTGCTTACTGCATGAACTCGGATTTGGAATTTAAGCTTAAAATGTTTTCCATGGGCAGTATGATACTCTGTCTTTTCATAAGTATTCCTCTTTCAACAAAAATGTGGAACAAATGGTTCTTGGACTGTTTGATACAATGGCAATTTATCTAGCATTTGGGGCAATGAGATTCAGTTCCACACAACTGAATTCTCCAGAAGTGAGTAAGAGTCATCCCTTCACTTGCTGTTTCCACCGTTTTCAGTGGAAGAATTTCTAATCTTAAAACACATGCTACCCAGCGGAAACAAAAACGACTGACACTCGGAGCTTCATGACTATGTTCCCAAACAACCAGAAGGCTCAATCACCCGGACTGAACTTGTGCAATTCTTGGGTCTTTCTGTCACCGACAGCTGCCAGTATTTTGCAGCCTGGTGCAGTCAGAAGTCATTTCTAGCTTATCGCCTGATGAAAATCACACAAGCACATTGACTAGAAGTTTACGTAAAACAAGAGTAAGTTGTTCTGACTGGGAGTCTTTTTTTTTTTTTTTTTTTTGTAAGTATAATTGTAGATAATTCCCCCACAATTGGTCCTGGAATTGTGTCACTATTTACCCGGCCTTTAGCATGAGACGCTACCAGACTTTACAAGTGCACATGTCCAGCTACTTTAAGCACTATTCACCAAAAATGTTTAGCTTTTTACTAAGAGAACAGACCCAGCAGCTAACTCAGCTTTGAAACATTTCAAATATTAAGTATTCTCAAGTCTTAAAATTGTACTTGTTTGGGTCACTGTCATTTTCTCCTTTCCAGAACTTTCCCCGCATGAGACTAGTGAATGTCACCAAGTGTACCCTGTATCCTCTGTAGCCGACATCTGATCAGACCCTAAATTGGCTCTTTCATATAGTCTGCTTCTCAAACCTCTGATTTTTCACTCAAACCAACTGCACTAATTCCTTTCTAGATGTTAAACAGCGTAGCCCAAGCTCAGATGCAATCAGCTTCCCCGGCTTCTCCTGCTTGCTTCTTTTCTGACACTGCGATACAAGTAGAATTAAAACGTAACTAAAGATTCTTAGCCTTCTGGTTACAGTATCTGCCAATGCTGCACCTTCCACTACATCAAATACTTCCCCCTCTGTCTCCTCAGGCTGGGCAAACCATGGGGCATTATGCAACATGTTTTCTAGAAGCCAGAACCCACCAGAGCTGTAAATTCCACTTTAGCTATATATCTCTGAGACCTATCTGAAATTCTTATGGTCTCAGAGAAAACTACTGTACCAGGCACCACCATATCCTGTGTTGCCCAGGACATGATCTGATTCCTGACAGCACCAAATTAAAAACTCCAGACTATCTTGTGCTGAGGTTTGTAGCAAGCTGCTTACACCTGAGCAGAACAATCACCTCCTCCAGGGATCCGAAGGCGGAACCCAAGACTCAACAGAATTTCTCTGACATTAGTGTTGTACCTGCAAACTGACTACAGACGCTGCAGTCGCCTCCATAAATACATTCGCGTGTTATTTTAGAAAGGTCATTGAGTAAAAGGAGCACTCCTCCAGCAGGAGGGGAGAGAAAACACGGAAGCAGTTGAGTGTCCGGCTCCTGAAAGCATAGCTGCTGACCTCAGAACTGAGCATACGCAAAACCGTCTCCAGAAAGGCCCCCCTCCACCCCCCGAGTTCTACCGATGGCCAGATACGAATAAAATCCACGTTACCATTCCTACGTTCGGTATGTCGCCTAAGTACCGCCCCACTGCCAGCTTCCTAACGGCCAAAATGCGTCTGGTCATCTTCAGCGCACGGTGGCCGGGTGTCCCTCCCGCCCTCCCTTTTTAAAGGAACTTCTAATTTTCCGCTGCAGCCGGCAGGGCCCGTCCTTCGCGGACATGACAACAAAGGCTGCGAGCCAGCGGCGTCAGCCGGGTCCCGAGCCCCGGCGCATCGGGGTGTACCCCCCGCCCCGGCCGCGGCGGCCAGCGCGCCGCACCCCATCATTAGCCTCCTCCGGGGCTGACTCGGCCCGGCAGCAGCAGCCAACACCCCGGCCCCGGCCAAGTTCTCTCCCGGCCCCCCGAGGCATCCCCGGCCCCGCGCGGCCCAGGCCCCGGATGTGACGGCGCCCGCGGCGTTCGCCCCCCGGGACGCGCGTGGCACAGGGTGGGGGCGAGGCCGGAAAGGCGGCCCGGGGTCCGCGGCGAGCGTCTCCCACCGCCCCCTCCGGCCACCACGTACCCAAGTCAGGAGGCTCTCACACAGCTCCACCCGCTCCACCGACTCCACACTGAACATCTTTTTTTTCCCCCCACCGCGCTCGGGGCTCGGCAACGCCTCTCCACCAGGCCAAGGCCAGGAAAACCGCTGCTGCCCGAGGGTCGGGATGGAGTCTGGAGGGTCCCGGCAGCAGCCGACCTGGCCTCTCCTCTGGTTCACCGCCTCCTTTGGGGCCAGCCGCTTGCTGTCTCCCCGGCGCTGGCAGCCGCTCCGCACCGTCACCCCCGCGCCCCTCCTTCTGCGCGGCCCCGCGAGCGCGCGCCCGCCCGCCGCGCGCGCCCCGCCCCGAGCCCCGCCCACAACCCGCGCTCGCCGGGCGAGCCGCAGCGCGCAGCCGTGCTCCGCCAGGCCCGTCCCCGGCTCCGCCGCCGCCGCCGCCGCCGCCGCGCGCCCCCGCCGCAGCTCGCTGCGTGTCGCGACGCGCGCGCGCCCGTCTCTGGCCGGGCCGTCCGCTCGGGCCCTCACGGAAGCTCGCAGTGCGCGTGCGCCGGTGCCCACACTCCCCCACCCCCACCCCATGAGACTGGAGGCAGCTGGTGTTCGCCCGGGAAGGGTGGCGGGGCTGTCCCCGGAAACAGGCTCTGTCCTCTGTCACCGGGAGTTGGCGAGGTAGCTCCTCCGCGGTGGAGAGGTACGCGCCCCCTCTCCTCCCCACCCACCCGGGCCGCGGCCTCGGGCGTCCTGGGGCGCGTGGCCGGCCACGCCTCCGGATCTGGTCCGCGAGAGGGCGGGCGCCGCTGCCCGGGGTCGCTTCCCGGCTGCCCCAGATTCTTCAGGGCGGACGAGTGGGATCGGAGCCGAGACCCCACTGTTTCCTTCAGGAATCCCGGGGCTCGACCCCGGCATCGGGCCCCGTTGCCGTCCGGAGTCGCCGGGAGGCGGTGGAAACGGGCTTGCTGGGCGTCTTGGAGGTGCTAGGTGGGCTCGGCCGGCGGTGAGGGGAGCCTTGCTTTGCTTCCCGGGGTGGCTCGGAGCCCCGAACCCCTGACAACTTCACTTCTCATAGCGGAGGCTGTGTGCGGTCTCTCCGAGCCGGGAGGACCCCGTCGGTGGCCTGGGCCTGGCTGGCCTCCTGTTTGGAGCCAGCTTCCCCTTCACGGCGAGGCGGGGCATTGGATTCATCCCCTTCTCACCTTTTAGAGTCTTGCGTTGTGGCATTGCGGAAAAGTGCATACGACATACGTGTGTAGAGAACAGTTAATAAAACACCCCGATAGAAACACACGTTGCCAGCAACCTGAGGAGCTGTGCACTTCCTAGCGGCATGTGCCTTTCCTAGCGTAATTCCCTTCCGAATTTGACTGGTGGAATCATCGCACGTGTATATGCATGCAATACAGTTTTTCCTTTGGTTATGTTGAAACTTGTGGCATCAATATTATGGGGTTTGGGTGGTGTTACAATAATAATAGTTTAAATGTGTGCCTAGCTGTTGGTAGTTTTCAGTATTGTCTGATATTCCATTGTGTGGATGTAACATTGTATCTATTGTCTACTCTCTTCGGTTCCGGTTTGGGCTGCTCACACTAGTACTGTAAACCTTGTTTCTGGGTGCGAAAGTGCAAACCTGCTGGAGTTTGCACTCCATTCGGCCAGTCCTTGGAGTCCTAGGACGTTGGTTAGTTCTTGGAGCCTGCAGACAACCCCAAACTATAGTCTTTCTGAGACACATTTTCAGTTTGGTTGGCAGTTCCTGGGAACCTTCGTCCCTATTCCTGCTCCCTATTCCTGCTAACCGTAACTTTTCTCCTTGACTATTCCAAAAACCAGAGCAGCATTGCGTCACTTCTGATTTCTGATGATGCCTTACCCAGCCCTAGTGAACAGTCCATACGAGATGATTTATCCAGTTGTGAGTGTAAAAACAAATGGCCAGGAGACTTTTCAGTGGTTTTTCAAATATTCCTTTCACCAGGGGCCAAGGAACCTTTAGAAATTGTAATAGAAGAGTACTTCAAAAGTTCATAGAGAAGTGCAGGTTCATTTTTGGCAGAGAAAGTGTTTTGAAATTCACATAACACTTTTTTTTCCCCATAATGCATACTTTCCAAGTACTGTGAAAAAAACGTTGCAACACAGTAAACTTTTTTTTTTCCAAAAGAGGTTTTTACTTATTTATTTAATTTTATTTCTTTTTATTTGAAAGGCAGACTTACAGAGAAAGGAGAGACAGAGAGAAAGATCTTCCAGTCACTAGTTCACTCCCCAAATGTCCACAATGGCCAGAGCTGAGCCAATCTGAAGCCAGAAGCCAGAAGCCAGGAGCTTCTTTCAGGTCTCCCATATGAGTGAAAGGTCTCAAGACTTTGGGCCATCCCTGACTACTTTCCCAGGCCACAAGCAGGGAGCTGGATGGGAAGTGGAGCAACTGAGACAGGAACTGACGCCTGAATGGGATCCTGGCATTTGGAGGTGGTGTATTAGCCTAGTGAGCCATGGCAAACTCAATACTTTGATTTCCATTGTTCCAGGAGACTTTTGAAGTTCCCTCCTAGGTGTTGCAACTGCCCGTGGATCTGTCAAACCAGAGTTCCTGCATTGTGTGCAGAATTGTTTCTGTAGGATGGCTGTAACTCTCATGACCTACATCCGTGTTAGGCAAGTGAAGGAAGTCACTAAGTGTATGTTTACAGAAGTTAGCCTGACTTGCAGGCAGCTTGTCTTACTGGCTTCCGTGGAAGGACTTGTGGCGTAGGAGGTGCCTTTGCCCCTGGCTGCCCAGGTGCTCAAGGCTGTGCCAGCTGACCCAAAGCCTCTTCTTTCAAGTCTGCATATGCGCAGTCCTTTCACCCCTGATGTTGTGGTTTGCTTGGTATCATTTTGTGGCTCCCTTATGTTAAAAGCTGCTTAGAGGTACAATCCCAGAAGCCGTATGTCCATCAGAGGTTTCTACCAAGGCTTGAGTGAAAAAAACACTGTTTTGTTTGTTTGTTTGTTTGTTTTTGGTTCATTTAAGGGACTCCTTGAATTTCCTGTTTTTCTCTTGTTTTTTTTTTTTTTCTGTGTATGTGTTTCCTTCCCTGTAAGTTTTGGAGAAGGCCTGGGAGAGGGGAGTTGAGCTTGATTTAGTTGTCTTCTTATTCTGGTTAGTTGGAGGCCAGTTCCTGTCTACAGCTGTTGATCAGAATCAAGTGAAAATTGTGGTGTCTCGTGTGGCAATGTTTCTACAGGTGGCCTACATTCCAGGGAACAAATACCTTAGAGCTTTGATTAAAGGGAGTTTGAAAGGCTCAATAGTGCAGCTGTGGGGAAAGGCAAGGCTAAGTATCCCACTTCCTTGACAGTTGTTAATAACAGTAATCATAATGTTACAGCACCCATTTACTGAGTCTGTAAAATGTGCCAGCCAATAGGGTAAATGCATTATCTTCATCATCTCCTAAACTCAGTGTCACGGGAAACTACTGATTGAAGCCGGCGTCAGCAGAGGTGAAAGAACTCAGCAGAGCAGTGTGCCAGGATGAGCCTGCTGTGGCCAGAGCAGTGTGCCAGTGTGAGCCCGCCGTGGTCAGAGCAGTGTGCCAGTGTGAGCCCACCGTGGCCAGAGCAGTGTGCCAGGGTGAGCCCGCCTTGGCCAGAGCAGTGTGCCAGGATGAGCCTGCTGTGGCCAGAGCAGAGTGCCAGTGTGAGCCTGCTGTGGCCAGAGCAGTGTGCCAGGGTGAGCCCGCCGTGGCCAGAGCAGTGTGCCAGTGTGAGCCTGCCGTGGCCAGAACAGTCGGCCACTGTGAGCCTGCTGTGGCCAGAGCAGTGTGCCAGTGTGAGCCTGCTGTGGCCAGAGCAGCAATCAGGCAGGAGAGCTGGAAGTTGCTCCTGCAACACGGGCTGCTACCTGCAGTGTATTTCTGCAACCAGTTTATTCTTGGGTACAGCAGGTCTTATTGGTCATATTTGAACCTCTGAGGGGTGGAGCTGGGGAGGTTGAGCTGCTTTTAGGGTCCTGGGGCAAGAAGAGTTTGAGTGGGTGACAAAGTGGCAGCTTGGTGTGGTCCAACCTAATTGTCTACATTTTACACTTAAGGGGGCTGAGGCTGAAACTTCTTGTTAGTACACAGTTGTCTAACTGCAAAGTTTATGCTTCTTCCTTACTATATTAAGCTACTCAGTAAAGCTTTTAGCCAACTAACCAACAACAAATCCAGTTCCCTAGGCTCTTGTCGGTTGTGCCACCCGGTTTCCAAGATGGATGGTGGTATGCTTCTATAAAGCTCAAAACAGTACTGAGAACTCTATTTCTGTGTTTGACAGAATTCCATGAAATAATATAGATAGGTATTCTTTACAGGCAGTAACTTTGTTTCTGGGTGGCAGATAAATGGCATTCGCTAGCTCTCATAACCCATAAAATCCTGTGTATTGCTCAAGGAATTAAGTTGTAGTTCCTGATGGAAAGGACTTTGTGATAGAGAAAGCTTGGCCATTGGTGGCAGTGTTTAGCAAGTGCCTCTTTGCCTTTCCCTGAGATCTTCAGAAGGCAGCAAGAAGCAATATGAATGCATGTCAGAGGCCTGGTTTGCATCTCAAGGGCTGAAGCAAGTGCTGGCTTTACTTTATTGTCAAAGTATTCCATGCTCGAAAAGAATTCAGAATGTAGAACTGTATCCTGGAAAGGTGAAAATCTGGCTCTCCCAGGCCAGCTCCCTACTCCCAGCCACATGAGCCTCTGCTTTTTGTCTTGGTGGACTGTTTTCTATTCTGGAAGCTCTGAGTCAGTGAATATAGTGAAAGGAACTGAAGAAAACAAGTTCAACTGGGGATTTCTCATTTGGTAGAAAAATGGGAAATCCTGAGAGCTCAAGTGAAGTGGAGCTACGATCTAATTTGCTGTCCAACAAGCCCCTGCTTGGGCTTCAGAGCCTGTGCAGTGGGACAAAATCAGCCACACTGTCTTATTCTAGACAAGCACTGGGTGGAAAACGGAAGTCGGAGTACCAAAGTGCCTATTGCTTTTGAAATTTAGTTTCAAAATTGAGATATCAGCATGGATATTGGGCATAGCAGTTAAAGCACTTGAGGTGCCCTCATCAAGTACTGAAGTCCAGGTTTAGCACTCTGCTCTGCTTCCCATTCTGGCTTCCTGCTAATATGTACCCTAAGAGGCAGCAAGTGATGGTCCAGGGGGTTGGATCTCTGCCATATATGTGGGAGACTTGGATGGAATTTTTAGTCCCTGGAGTTGGCCCGACCCAGTCCCAGATTGTGGCATTTAGGTAGGTGCTCTGCCTGTCTCTTTCTGCCTTTTGTGTAAATAAAAATAATTTTAAAAATTTAAAGATTGAAGTAGCATGTCACCTCAAGTAGGAAATTTTCTTTTTGTTGAATAGTCCCAATAATCTTAAATCAGATGAGCTTATTCCAAACTGAATAGGTTGCCTCATTTTTGAGGCTCTCTCTCCTACAGTTTCCTCTCTTTATTAAGAGAAAAACTACGACAAAAGTTGTACTATGAAAGTCCTGCACACATAGATCAAACAGTATTTTGTTTCCACCAGACAGACAGTTCTAGGTTTGATTGGGATTTACACATGGTAAGAAAAAAAGCAGGTGACACCTGTGCCCCTCTTAGCAGCATTAAGAACTTCTGTAAAATCATACAAATAACATGTGGCCACCCAATGTTAAGTAACCTGGATTTTTTTTTAAAGATTTACTTAATTTTATTGCAAAGGCAGATATAAAGAGAGGAGGAGACAAAAAGATCTTTTGTCTGTTAGTTCACTCATCAAGTGGCCACAAGGCCTGAACTGAGCCAATCTGAAGCCAGGAGCCAGGAACCTCCTTGTCTGCAGGTCTCCCATGTGGGTACAGGGTCCCAGGACTTTGGACCATCTTCTGCTTCTTTCCCCTGCTACAAGCAGGGAGCTGGAAGGGAAGTGGAGCAGCCAGGACACAATCTGGTGCCCATATGGAAACCTGGCATGTGCAAGGCAAGGATTTGGCCACTAAGCCATTGCACAGGACTGAAGTATGGTGGATCTTTGGGCATGGAATATTTTAAGGACATGTGACTGCATGGAAGTAATATATACATAATGGTAACCAAACTTATACAGTAGAATTCAGATATATCACCGCTGATTATATCTGGAAGGACACAGAAACAAATATAACGTATTTGTAAACAAAAATACAAAGAAAGTAGTGAAACTGGCATAGCATAGGGGACAATATGAGTGGTAGTAATTACAACACTTGTATTGGGACAGTTACCGTCACTGCTGTTGGTTTGGTCTAAATCACACCACTCTGCACTAGTCAGTTTCAGTAAGGATCTTGACATGGGGATGAACATTTTGGTTAGCTGAGCTGATGCAGGTAATTGTCATGGTAGGACTTCTCACAACAGCCGTGACTTCTGCAAGAGGATAATACGAACTAACCACATGGCCCATCCCCATATTCTCTGAGGCTCTGGAGTTTCACTGGGGGATTTCTCTTTTGCATACAAAGGCTGACATTAGGCCCCTTTCCCTGAGTTCCCCGGTGTTTGCCCTCATGATGGATATTTGAACATTGTCATTGGCGAGTTCCTGATGTCAGGCTGGGACTGCGTGTAAAGCTGAGGCAAGCTGCCTTTGCTCTATTTCTTAGTTTAGGTGTTCATCAGAGGTCATTTCCTACTAGCAGCCAGTTCAGATGACTTTGATGCTCAAGAATCCTCTGATTAGTGGTGTTGGACAAAATTCGTTATATAAATGCAAAACTTATTTTAATTGTTAACATTATACCTATTTGAGTGTTTCCTTTAGTTCTGCCTTATGTGTCTTTGAAGACTTATCTTGCTCCTTAGGCTGCAGTGTGGTTGGCCTCTGTCCCTTCTGTCCACTGCATGTCCTCCTGGCTTAGAGCAGAGCCCGGGGCTTCCCATTGCCTTTCCCTCTGTCTTCATGACCAAGTGCAGCTTTGTAATGATTCCATAGTCCCAGCTGTCCAAAGAATGGCGAACCAGCAGCTGAACTTGGCTGCAGGTGATGCCATTCGTTTTTAGTTTCTCAAACAACTTTAATTCCAATAGTTTTAGTGTTGATAATAAAAGTCATATAATATAAATGTCTTTTACTGTTTAAATCACTAACATTCTAATTGCAAAAAGTGTTTGTTGGCTCCTACTGTGTGCAGGGCATATGCTGGGTAATACAAGAATATCTATTGAAGGCTGCAATGTGTATTTTCTCCCGTTCATACAGGGTAGTTCTGTAAGACACACACTCTGCTATGAGAGGGGAAGAAGGATCTAATGTATTTGGGGAGTTTTTTGGCTCTTAGGAGTAAGAAAATGATACTTGGGCCAGAAAAATGTCTTTATTATTAAAATTAAAGGAGCTAAGTTTGAAGAAGAAAGGTTATTAAAAATCTTTTTTTCTAAAAAATCAAGTGGATGATAAACTGTAATAACCACTGTTCATCTTAAAGGAAACAGAATTTTATAATCCTCAAAATATTGTGCCTGGGAAATTTTAAAGAACTAATTGATGTCATCACCTCTGGAGTTGGATTTAAAGCAACCTACCTTAAGAGGATGCTATGGGCCCAGCACAGTAGCCTAGCGGCTAAAGTCCTTACCTTGAACGTGCCAGGGTCCCATATGGGCACTGGTTCTAATCCAGGCAGCCCTGCTTTCCATTCAGCTCCCTGCTTGTGGCCTGGGAAAGCAGTCGAGGATGGCCCAAAGCCTTGGGACCCTGCACATGCATGGGAGACCCAGAAGAGGCTCCTTGGCTCCTGGCCTCAAATTGGCTCAGCTCTGGCTGTTGTAGCCTTTCAAGGACTGAATCAACGGATGGAAGATCTTCTCTGTCTTCCTCTCTGTATATCTGACTTTCAAAACACAAATTTATTACAAGTCAGTTAAATTCCTTTTATGTTTCCACTGTGTTAATTTTAACTTCTGTCTTGTTTGTATTTTAGATTTGGAATGGCCAAATATCAAGGCGAAGTTCAAAGTTTGAAATTGGATGATGATTCAGTGATAGAAGGAGTAAGTGACCAAGTACTTGTGGCAGTTGTGGTCAGTTTCGCTTTGATTGCTACCCTGGTATATGCACTTTTCAGGTGAGAATAAAGGACAAAAGAACTGAAATATTAAATGTTTCCCCAAGACATGGACTTTGACTGCTACTGATATGTAATGCTTGGTATGCAAAACAGGATCTCAGTGATGACATATATGAGGTATGCAAAAAAGTTGTAGAAAAAAGAAGAAATAAGTTTATGGGGCTGGTGCTAAGCTCAGCGAGGTGAATACCATGACGTTGACATCCTGCAGGGGCACAGGTTTTACATCTTGGTGACTTCTGATCCAGTACTCTGCTAATGGCCTGCGAAAGCAGTGGACAATGACCCAAGTACTTGGCCCTCTGCCAACCATGTGGGATACCCAGAAGAAGCTCCTGGCACTGGCCTGCACCAGCACTAGCCATTTTGTGTACATCTGGGGAATAAACCAATGAATGGAAGATACTGCGTTCTTTCTCTCTCTCTCTACCTCTGTAATTCTACTTCCAAAGAAATAATCTTTAAAAAAAAAAAAAAGAGAGAGAATAGTCTATACTGTTAAAAAATTTTGAAATTTGGGCCCAGCACAGTAGCCTAGCAGCTAAAATTCTCGCCTTGCACATGCCTGGATCCCATATGGGCTCCAGTTCTAATCCCAGCTGCCCCACTTCCCATCTAGCTCCCTGCTTGTGGCTTGGGAAAGTGGATGAGGACAGCCCAAAGCCTTGGGACCTTGCACCCATGTGGGAGACCTGGAAGAGGCTCCTGGTTTCATATCAGCTCAACTCTGGCCGTTGTGGCAGCTTAGAAAGAGAATCATTGGTCGGAAGATCTTCCTCTCTGTCTCTCCTCCTCTCTATATATCTGACTTTCCAATAAAAATAAATATTTAAATAAATAGAGAGTTTTCTCAAGATAAAAAAAACTTTAAAAATGCTTTGAAATTCATGCTTTGAAGAGGTCATAAAAATGTGCATTATGAAAAACGCTTACATGCATGATTTTAACAAATTGTATAAAAATAAACTTAAAACAGCAAGTGTTGTGATGGAGCAAGCGTAACTGCCACCTGTGACTGTTCACCTTCCAGTCCAGCTCTCTACTGATGGCCTGGGAAGGCAGCATAGGATGGTCCAAGTCCTTGGGGCCATGTGGGAAACCTGGAAGAAATTCCTACCTCCTGGCTTCAGATCATCCCATCTCTGACCATTGTAGCCATCTGAGGAGTGAACTAGCAGATGGAAGACCTCTGTGTCTTTCCTTCTTTCTCTATAATTCTGCTCTTTAAAAAAAATCCTTTAAAAAAGACACAGGTAAATAAAATGATTTCACATGTTCATGGATTGAATGATTTTATTGTACTTGACCCCAAATATCTCAGGTAACAAAAGCAAAGACAGACAAATGGAATTTCATCAAACTGAAAAACTTCAGCACAGAAAAGGGAACAATCAGCAGAGTGAAGTAGGCCACAGAGAAAATATTAGGACATTGTACATCTCTGATAAGGGGTTAATATCTAAAATGTACAAGGAACTCAATTCCATAGCAAGAAAACAGATTGATTATAAAATGAGCAGAGGAGTTCTGCAAAGTGAAGCCTGAAATCCAAGGTCACAATAAAGCATCTGAAATTCATTGCCAGGATCGTGATGGTACAGGAAGGGAACGTGGAAGATGCATACAGGACCCTAAGCAAAATCCTCACGATGGGCATTAACTGATGGTGGTAGTGCTAAGGGAAGCCTTCCCGGCCAGCAGAGGGAACGCCCTGAAGCTGTGGACGTGACCCAAGCAGTGAACTTGGTGTTGTGAGAGACTCTTACCAGGTCCATGGTAGAGCTGCTGAGGCCCATGGATAGAAGGACCAGTGTGAACACCTGGGTCCATTTTGGGTGTCCACTCTTGTTTTGCCAAGCCCATTTGCTATTATCTTTTCCTACAATAAAGGTAACAAGTAAAAAAAGAAGGCCTGTATATAAAGGAGCATTTCTCCAAATAAGACATACAAATGGCTAGCAAGCATGTTGTTCACCCCTTATTCACCAAGGAAATGCAGTTTAAAACCACTGCGAGAATAGCTAACGTCTGTGAGAATAGTTGTGTCCAGAAAGGTGGAAGATAGGAGCCTTGGGTTATGGTGCAATGTGCAACACTGACATATCAGTACTGGTTCATCTCCTGCCTGCTCCACTTCCAATCCAGCTTCTTGCTAATGTGCCTGGGAAAGTGGTGAAAAATGACCCAAATGCTTGGGCCCCTGCCACTCATGTGGGAGACCTGGAGTTCCTGGCTCTTGACTTTGGCCTGGCTGTGAGGCCATTTAGGGAGTGCAACAGCAGATGGAATATCTCTGTCTCTCATCTCTGTCATTCCCCCTCTCTCTCTTTGTGTAACTCTGCCTTTCAAATATTAGCATAGTAGTAGTATTAGCATATAACCCAGCAATCACACTTGCAAGTATCTAGCCAAAGAAAATTAAATCAATATGTTAAAGCGATTTCTATGCTTGCATGTTTTTGCAGCATGGTATGATATGGAATAAATGTAAGTGTGCCTCAGAAGATAAATGAATAAAGGCTTAAAAGGAAAAGCAAAGCTGTCATTTTCAACAATATGGATGAACCTGGTGAACACAGTGCAAACTGAAATAAGTCAAGCTTGAAAAGATACTTCATGGTCTCACTTATATGTAGAATGTGAAAGAACTGAATTCGTAGAAGTACAGCCTGGAATAGAATGATGCTTTCCAGTGGCTAGGAGAAATAAAGAATACGAAGCTTCCGTTAGAATAAATAAAGAGATGAAGAAGAAAGTATTAGCCTTTTAAAAAACAGTTATTTTTGTTAAAGTAAAGATAATATTTCTATGACTTACTTTCTAATTTCCCCACTATGAATATTTATTATTTGCATAATAAACACTTTTCCCCCTCAGAGTGAATTGATGTGAAGTCCAAACTAAAGAGTTTCCATTCAAACAATAACTTCCTATCTCTTCTCTCCCAGCTCCCATTAACTCCTTTACTTCTTCTTGTAAAATCACATGATATTTCTCCTTTTCAAAGTCTGTTTGTGTCGCAGTGGCTGACCGCCTGGGCTAAGGGGCTGGTTCCTCAGTCGGGCTCCTTAGTTGAGTGGCCTGTTCCCTGTGTCGGCCTGGTCTGTTGAAGGAATTGATGGGGGAAGCTAGCAGATGAGACTGTTCTTCCTCTTACTCTCTGTAATGTAAACTAAAACGCGTTTACACTGTACCATGTGGCAGAACCCCATCGTTTTTATGACTAAATCCTATTTCATTGTATGTATATACTGCATTTTATTTATCCATTCATTTTTAAATAAGACATGTGGCTTTCTATCTTTTGACTGGTGCAAAGAATAATAATGAACAGGTATTTGTTGTGAATCTCTGCTTTCAGAAGGAATGGCATGGCTACATGGCAATTAAGTTAAACTTTAAAAAAAAAAGTTTTATTTTTATTTGAAAGGCACAATCACAAAGAGAAGAAGAGGCAGAGAAATATCTTCCATCTGCTGGTTCACTCGCGAAAACAGCTGCAATAGCTTTAGCTGAGCTGATCCAGGATCCAGGCGCCTCTACCAGGTCTCTCACGTAGGTGCAAGGAGCCTAAGGACTTGAGCCGTCTTCCTCTGCTTTTCCAGGCCATAAGCAGGAAGCTGGATCAGAAGTGGACCAGCTGTGATGAGAACTGGTGCCCATATGGGATGCCAGTGCTAACAGGTAGAGGATTAGCCTATTAAGCCATCACACCAGCCCCAATCATATTTGACTTTCTGAGGAACTTCCAGACTGTTCTCCACAGCAGTCCCTGTTTCTCATTCCCACCAGAAAAACATGAAGCTCCCATTTTCTCAATATCCTTGCAAATACTTGTTATTTACTGTTTTGTTTTTAATGATAGCCATTCTCATGGGAATGAAGTAGTATCCCAGTATGGTTTAATAATTTTTAAAATGTATGTATTTAAGAAGCAGAGACAGGAGAGAGATCGAGAGAGCCCACCCACTGGTTCATTCTCCAGACGCCCACGATGACTGAGTGGCTGAGACTGAGGCAGGAAGTCAGGAGCTCAGGCCACTCAGCCCATGTGGGTGGCAGGAGTCAGCTGCTTGAGCAGTGAACACTGCCCTGGAAGGTGTGCAGCAGCAGACAGCTGGAATCAGGAGCCAGACAGAACAAGGTGAGCCTGGTACTCTGATGTGAGCGTAGACTAAACCCTGGCTGTGGTTTTCATTTCCATTTTTGTATCACTGAGGCTGAACATCATTTCATATGCTAACTGGCTACTTTGAACATTTTTAGATTGTGAGATTTGCTTTTTGTCTCTGAGTTATATAAATGTCCTTTATATTCTTATATTTTTAGCAGATACGTGATGGAAAAATATTTTCTCACATTGTATGAATTGTAAGTCTTTGATAATGTCCTTTGACGTGCCAAGCTTTTAATTTTAATGAAGTCCATCTGCTCTTTTTTGTTGTGACCTTTGCTTAAGAAATAATAAGATTTATTTTATTTTTATTTGAAAGGGACAGTTACAGAGAGGAGAGACAGAAAAAGAGAGATATTTCGTCCTGTGGGTCACTCCCCAAATGGCCACAACGGCCAGAATTGGACTGATCAAAAACCTGGAGCCAGGAGCTTCTTCTGGGTCTTTCACATAGGTGCAGAGATCCGAAGACTTGAGCTATTCTCCTCTGTTTTCCTAGACCACAACAGGGAGGTGGATCAGAAGTGGAGTAGTCAGGACTTGAACCTGCATCCATATGGTATGACAGCACCACAGCCAGAAGCCCAGCCTACTAGGCCATTGTACCAGCCCCTTGCTTGTGCTCTTGGCCTCACCTTAGAAATCACTGGCTATTCCAAAAATTTTGGGGAAAAAATGGCATAGTTTTAACTCTTAAATTCAGTTCACATTTTGAATTAATTTTTGCATATGATATGAACCTAAGGGGCCAATTTCATTCTTTTGCATGTGGATAAGTAGTTTTACCAGGACCATTGGTTGGAAGTATGCCTTCCTAGTGAGTGATCCTGGCATACTTGTCAAAAGTCAAATACATGTCCAGTGCCCTGGCTCAAGAACCTAATCATACGCTGCAGGTGCCAGCATCAGTTTAAGCACAGGCTAGTGTTCTAACTGCTCCACTGCTCAATTGGCTCCCTCCTGATAGCCTGGTAAAGCAACAGAGGATGACCCAAGTCCTTGGTCCCTTGCAGCCACATGAGAGACCTGGAAGAAGCTCCTGGCTTCCAGCTTTGGATCAGCCCAGTTCTGGCTATTGTGGCCATTTGGGGAGTGAATCAGCAGATGGAAGATTTTTCTGTTTGTAAATCTTCCTTTAAATAAAAATAAATGTCTTTTTAAAAAAAAACGCGCAATGTCTTTGGGCTGTTGGAACCAGTCACCATGGACTGGACTGGATTGGATGCCTTGGTATTTACCCACTCACAGCTCTAGAGGCTGGGTGAGATCAAGGTATTAGGGATCTGGTTTCTTTTTTTTTTAAGATTTATTTTTATTATTTTTTTATTGGAAAGGCGGATATACAGAGAGGAGAGACAGAGAGGAAGATCTTCCGTCCGATGATTCACTCCCCAAGTGAGCACAACGGCCGATGCTATGCCGGTCCGAAGCCAGGAGCCTCTTCCGGGTCTCCCACGCGGGTGCAGGGTCCCAAAGCTTTGGGCCGTCCTCGACTGCTTTCCTGGGCCACAGGCAGGGAGCTGGAAGGGAAGCGGGGCTGCTGGGATTAGAACTGGTGCCCATATGGGATCCCGGGCATGCAAGGCGAGGACCTTAACCACTTGTGCCACCGCGCCGGGCCCGGGATCTGGTTTCTGACAAAGCCTATTTCCTGGTTTACAGATTGGCTGTTTCCTTACTGTAGATTCATGTGGCGGGCTCACCCATGTCTCTTCTAATAAGGGCACTAAGCTTATCATGAAGGCACAGCTGTCCTGACCCAGTTACTTCCCGAAGGTCTCACCTGCACACACCACTATTCTGTGAATTTGGTACAGGATGCAAACACACAGTCATGGCAGCTGTGCCGGTCAGAGCTGCTTCCTAGGCTCTGCTTTCTACCCCATTGGTTTCTGTATCCTATGACAGTACCACTCTCTTCTGACTAGTGTAGATTTCTAGTGATTTTCAAACCAGTGAATGTTGGCTTTTACAGTTTCATTCTTTTTCAAAACTGTTTTGCTGATTTGGGAGTCCCTTGAGATTTCATAGGATGTTCAGAATGATTTTTTTCTTCTGCAAAACAGGATTTTGATAGGAGCTTTGAGTCTATAAGTAGATGGCTTTGGGTGGTATTTTGTTTTTCAAGAACATTGTCTCTGAACAGAATTTCTTTCTATTTGTGTTTTTTTTTTTCAGCTATAATTAATTTGTTCTCTCTTTTAAAAATATTTATTTATTTTTATCTGAAAGTCAGATATACAGAAAGGAGGAGAAACAGAGAGGAAGATCTTCCATCTGATGATTCACTCCCCAAGCAGACACAATGGTTGGAGCAGAGTCGATCCAAAGTCAGGAGCCAGGAACCTCTTCTGGGTCTCCCATTTGGGTGTAGGGTTCAAGGCTCTGGGCCGTCCTTGTCTGCTTTCCCAGGTCACAAGCAGGGAGCTGGATGGGAAGCGGGGCCACTAGGATGTGAACTGGTGGCCACATGGGATCCCAGTGTGCGCAAGGCAAGGACTTTAGCCACTAGGCTACTGTGCCTGGCCCACACGTTTGTATGTTTTGATTCAAACTTTCTGTGACAAGGCTTAGGTATCATTTCCCCTCTTAGATCAGAGGTTCCTAGCTCTTTCGAAGGCTTGCATACAACTTAAATGTTTGCTAATTCTAGTTTTTCCTTTCACAAAACAAAGAAGGAGCATAAATTGTTGGAAAATATGGTAGCAACAAATATCCTGGAGCCACCACTGTATTTGGCACCTTACTTTAGCCCAACTTGAGGCCAAATGTCATGTCATTTTATCATAGCTAACATGATCACATGTTCCAGATATATTCTAGTGTGGGTCTTAGTTTACTTTAAATCATCCCGTTGTCTAAGAAGTTTTTAGTTCTGTACTCATAGCTGCCAATCATATTTAATTGCCTGTACTACACCTTGGGCTGTTCTTGTTCTTTGGCTCTACTTTGATTTCTCAGATATTCTAACAGATCTAAGAAATCCTACATCTTCACTTTTTTTGGAAAGAAGCCAAATTAAAGAATTTCTAGTAACAAGGTTCTTGCCTATGCTCTGAAAAATAGGTCCTCTTTTTTTTTTTTCCAAATGAGAAGAAGATAGTCTGAAAGTCTGGAAAATTGGGCCCCAGCGCGATAGCGTAGTGGTTAAAGTCCTCGCCTTGAATGTCCCAGGATCCCATATGGGTGCTGGTTCTAGTCCCAGAGGCCTCTCTTCATATCCAGCTCCCTGCTTGTGGCCTGAGAAAGCAGTCGAGGATGGCCCAAAGCCTTGGGACCCTGCACCCACATGGGAGAACCAAAAGAAGCTCCTGGCTCCTGGCTTCGGATTGGTTCAGCTCCAGCTGTTGTGGCCACTTGGGGAGTGAATCATCAGACAGAAAATCTTTCTCTGTCTCCTCCTCTCTCTCTGCATATCTGCCTTTCCAATAAAAACAAAGAAATTTTTAAAAAGGAAAAAAAAAGTCTGGAAAGTTGCCATTTAGCTGGATAGTCACCAGTATTTAAGGTGAACAGTGAGATGCTTCCTATGTTAGGTTGTTAATACTTTGCATTTATATAAAATGTCTCCTTTTATAGATCACTTATTCACTCAGAAGAATGCAACTTTTTTAAGATTTATTTTTGTTTTTATTGGAAAGTCAGATATTCACAGGAGCAGAGAGGCAATCACAATAATTTGGGAGCATTTAAAGTCATTTCCTTATATCTTTGTATACTTTTATTAGATACTTGACTTTGATGTCCTCTCTGCACTAATGCTTTTTTAAAAATTTGCACTTTGTACTAGAAATCGCATAATCACAGGACATATTTTTAAAATGATCTGTAACCCATTAGGATATTTGGGTTCTTACATCTGTTGGATATGGATTAAAGGTTTATTGTATTTTGTTTAACAGAAATGTACATCAGAACATTCACCCAGAAAACCAAGAGCTGGTAAGGGTACTTCGAGAACAACTTCAAACAGAACAGGTACTGCTCCCTAAAGATGTGTGTTTCTGTCACTGCATGAGTGTACAACACAATGAAACAGTTGTTATTGATCCTAAAGGCGGGCTTCCTTGCAGCTTCAGATTACCTAACGTCATTCAGTGACTGCACTTTCAGATCAGACAGCTTGATCGCTCTTATCAGTTCATGCTTTCTTTGTTAACTTTTAAGGTTAAAGACAACAATTTTCCTCCTATTTGTGTAGAAATAATCACTGCTTAACTGGCCTTAGTGAAACATAGTGGGGAAACTCTAAAATCAATTTCCTTAAGAACTATAAAGAATTGACTAAAAGAGATGACTTTTAAAAGAATAGTCCCCCTGCCCAAAGGTAACACAGCTGGTGAGACAATGAAGTAAACCTTTCTTCTTTGCCTTTTTGGTTTTCACCAAATTTCTAAGAACCAGAAATGTACTATTCTTTATGAATTGTGATATTGCACACATTCAGGCCAAAATGGCTAACATCAAGAACAAAAATTAAAAATTGCTTTCCTATCTGATTAACTTTAGTTCCATTGAAGGTTCTGTAGTTTTTCCAGTTATCAAATAATTTTTAAACATCTACGATGTGCCAGACATTGTCCTAGGCATTGATAGATGTGAGCTAAACAGATAAAACCTCCCAGCCTCACCGAAATGTATTGCTGTAAGGGTTTAATTACATTAGTAGTATTCTGTTCCAGAATTACTATCAGTATTCCATGTTGGGAGAGTGTTTTAATAAGCACAGTGATTTTGCAAACTATTTCATATAATCTGTAAGCATGATTAATTAGGTAGCTATACTTATTCTCATTAATGTGTTGGATTAATGTTTGTTTAACTGAGCAGTAGTAATTGTGGGAGTGGGTCTGCCTCTGCAGGAGTCCCTGATTTTTTTGTAGCATTGTTCCATTCATTTACCTTCTACCTTCCTTCCAACATGACCTATAGCTGTTAGTGTTAGAATAAAGCTATTAATTTAACTTATTCTGTGTTGTTAAAAAAAATGATTGCCACTAGCCACATGTGGAGAGTTAAACTTGTGCTAATGTTAAATCCAGTTTAAAAGTCAGGGCTTTAGTTCCAGTGAGCATTTCTAGTATGACACAAAACTGGCTGCCATATGGAAAGCACAGATTAAGATTTCCATTACTGCAGCAAGTTCTATTGCACAGAACTGCAACTGAGGTTTTTGTCAGTATGTGCCAAATATTAATGATAAGGGCCATGTTAGGTATGATACATTTTTCTTTCTCATATTATTAAAACTGGCATAAATGACCAACATATCAACCTTCCTAGAAAATAATTTAGCATTTATTGTTCAACTGCTGCACTGGCTCAGCCTCGTGCTTCTCAGAATAATGTGTTTATCCCAGGAGTCAAAGAGAAACTCATGAGTTAATCTGAGTTTTAGCTTTCAACTTGTTCAAGTTGCAAGATGGAAACAGGCAGTGTATATGAGACCAGCACTGTAGCTTCATAACTTTATCAAAATTTTAAAACTTTAAACTGTGACAATCTTAAGCTTGCCGAGAATTGCATGTTATTGATTTTGTCCTTAAATATCACTTAGCAGGAGGTTACTTTGGAAACTCTGAGGTGTACATGTGTACGTGTTTCTTTACCAGGATGCCCCTGCTGCTGCCCGACAGCAATTCTATACTGACATGTACTGTCCAATCTGTTTACATCAAGCCTCCTTCCCCTTTGAGACAAACTGTGGACACCTTTTCTGTGGTAAGCAAGTAGTGCTTTGACCCATGTGTGCATGTAGGTGAGAGTCCTAATTCTCCCCTTATCACATTTTATCTTTCATCAGTAGGGTAATCTGATATTCTACTCTATTCGTGAATCAAGTGTACTTAGCATATGATGTAGTAAATTATGTAATTTAATATGTATATTCTCTTTAGTATGTAATGTATCATCTGTTAATTCAGTGATTTAAAAAAAAACCGAATTGTTCAGCTTCTCAATATCCAGAAACATGTGTTTCTTTGAATAGTAATTCAAATATAGTTAGTCTTAGGGCCTCACTGCATCTCTCCTTGTTCATCTCTTTCTGGTAGTTTCATTCTTTTTTTAAAGATTTTTTGTTGTTGTAAAGTCAGATTTATAGAGAGAGACAGAGGGAAAAATCCTTCACTGATTCACTGCCCAAGTGGCTGCAGTGGCTGGAGCTGAGCCTATCCAAAACCAGGAGCCGGGGCTTCTTCTGGGTCTCCTATGTGGATGCAGAATCCTGAGGCTTTGAGCCATCCTCTGCTGCTTTCCCAGGCCATGAACTAGCATCCGTATGGGATCCCAGTGCATGTGAAGAGAGGACTTTAGTCACTACGCTACTGTGCTGAGCCCAATTTCATTTATTCTTTATCCTTACCAAGGCAGGAAAATTCTTCCTTCAAAAACCCTCCCTGAGAGCTTCCCATAACTGTCCTATCTTTGAGTTACTGTAAAAGTTGCTAGTTTCTGTTTGTAGCTTCAAGAGAGTTAAAGAACAGCAAGAAACCCAGAATGACCTTGAGACTACATATTATCATTACCTTCAGAAAGATATTATGGTGAATGAGATATTTTATTGTTTAGTGTTTCCAAACTAGAGTGGGGGAGACAGTTATTACAAACCTACATGTGCTAGACACTTCACTTCATCTCATCTAATCCCATAAATGGGGAAACTGAGGCTCAGAAATCTCACCAAGTTTAATTCAGCTGCTCGGCAAATAGAGCCCGATTTTAAACTTAGGTTTGTCTGAAACTCTTACGTCTAATTCTGCTTTATGTGACTCATGGCATATATAACAAAAAGACTCAGCCAACAGCTGAATTGTCCAGTCACTACACATTTTTATGTTTTTTTATAAATCTTTTTTTTTAAGATTTATTTTATTTTTATTGCAAAGTCAGATATACAGAGAAGAGGAGACACAGAGAGGAAGATATTCTGTCTGATGATTCACTCCCCAAGTGACTGCAATGGCCGGAGCTGAGCCAGTTCCATGCCAGGATCCAGAAACTTCTTCCAGGTGTCCCACACAGGTATAGGGTCCCAAGGCTTTGGGCCATCCTTGACTGCTTTCCCAGGCCACAAGCAGGAAGCTGGATGGAAATTGGAGCTGCCGGGATTAGAACTGGCACCCATATGGGATCCTGGTGCGTTCAAGCAAGGACTTTAGCCACTAGGCCACCACACTGAGCCCTACACTTATTTTTATTTATCAGTAATATTTTTTTCTATTTGAATGAGTATGTGTAATTGTGCCCAAAATGCACCAAATTTTCACACAAAGATTTAAAACTTAATACACAATGATCCTATAAATTGGTTTCTCCCTTGTGTATCTTTTATCTAACTTCATCACAAAATTCTTATTTATTTGAGAAACAGAAAGAGATCTGCCATCCATTGATCAGCTGCCCAGATGTGCACAGTTTGGGACTTGCAAGGCTGAAGCCAGTAGCTGGGAATTCAGTCCAGGTCTCCCAAGTGGATGGTGAGCACCCAGTCATTTGAAGCAACATCTGCTGTCTCCCAGGGTGCACACTAGCAGGAAGTTGGAATCTGGATTGGATGAAACTCAAGCCTAGGCTTTTGGATATGGAATGCAGGTGCCCCAGGTGGCGGCTTAACAGCTGTACAGTCACTCCATCACAGAATTCTCAGATACAGTGAGTGTTATTTATGAGTTGGGAGTGACATAAATATTTCAAATCCATACCTTGCAATGCAGAGTTTTCTATAGCTTGTGCTTATTTAGTAATTGAGTCTTATTATTGTTTTTATTCCATAGTTTCAACCTCTTCCCTAAAGATTTTTTTTTGCCTGAGTGACTAAATAATTAGAAAATGTTGTTTGCAGTTTAATTATCTTGTTGAGAATGTTACTGAGCAGGAAAAGAATTGAAGACTGGGTGGGGAGAAGGACATGACCATCATGGAAGGCAGCTGCTGTTGTGCCGCAAAGCCTCTGGGAGTCCTGCCTCTCCACCTGGCACTGCCCTCTCCTGAGCCTGGAGGTGGTCTTGGCCGTGCTTTGGCAGAGTGCTTACTCCACACAGAGGTGGGCACAGTCAGTGCAGTCTGCCAGGTGACGTTGGCCTGTTTGCCAACCCAGGCTTAGGTAATTCACTGAGTGGACAGTCCTGCCCACTGAAGGACTGACTGTGTTGCACTCTGATACCCTGCTATTAGATACTTTGATTTAGTGTCTGTACATTCAGAATTGTAAAACAAAGCCAGTGATTCAGCTTCTCAATAAACAGAAGTACATTTTTGAATAGCTGCTCAAGTACATTCAGGTGTGCATAGGTTTAAAAAATTCTGCCCAAAGCAAACTTACCTTTTAATTCCATTTTGTGCAAACTTTTTGAAACACCCTTCTGTCAAGAGCACTTCCTATATGTAGCACCACAGTTATGTTCCGTTACAGTGAACCAAAAGAAGTAGCAGCAACTACTTACTGTATTTATAATCTGTGTTAGTTTAATTCTCCAGCAGTTATGTGAGGTCTTACGGCCATCTGCAAACAGACTCAAAAAGATTATGACCTAGATGGGGGTTACAGAGTCATCTCTCCACCCTCTGATTTAGGTGGAGACACCTTCATGGAGGGGGGAGTTAAGACAGAGGAACATGTCACACTTAAAACAGCATATGTGTATGAACTGGAATATTTGACATTACAGAGCTAGTTTTTCAGTGCAGGCTTAACTGGCCATTACATAATTTGGATAACAAGAACAACTGTGTCTTATGGACAAAAAAAATGTGGGACCGAATGAGTCAAAACGCAGTGAGTTTTTGGAGGAAAAGGTAGTAGACAAATAAGTCTCAGATGTTCTGTATAGTAATAATAATACTAACAGAGGAGGAAGTTTTGCTTTTGTACTTCTTCCATGCATGCAGGTTGCTCAGAGCGCTTCCTAAACAATGTTTAGCTAGCAGTACTTTATGAGAGGAAATATGTCCAGCAGAGTCTCATCCTTAAGTTGGTGAACAAGTAGTTCCCCGCAGTTGCTGTGATGTCCAGTTGGGATAGTCCCTGCTTAGCTCATCTGCTTGCCCCCAGCATCCTCTCACTCAGCGTCTGTTTCTGCCTCTGGCCTTTGTTTTTGTCTCTCATGTGTCCTCTCACCTATGTTCTCTGCCTGTCTAAATCTCCCCTTTCCTGCAAAGTTCACATCCTTTCTTGTCTGCAAGTTCCTCCCCAGTGCATCCTCCTTTGTACTCTTTTTGTACTTAAAAGTTAATAATATATATTTCAAAATCTAATTACTTTCTAATGGATTTCAATGTGTTACCTTGGTCTGCTCAGATTGCTTTTATTTGTTTTGCATTCTAAACCTTCTAGAGGAATAAAAAGAAGGGTCACAGATAGGCAAGAGTAGGAGCACAAAGGTGGGGCAGCTTTAAGGTGCATCGGGTCAAGCTGCTGCCTGCAAAGCCGTCATCCCACATCGGCGACCATTTCAAGTTCTGGCTGCTCCATTTCCAATCGAGCTCCCTGCTAATGTGCCTGGGAAAGCAACAGGTGGTGACTGCAATTCTTGGGCTCCTGAACCCATGTGGGAAACCTAGATGGAGTGCCAGGCTCCTGGCTTTGGACGAACCCCGCCCAGCCATTATGCTTGGGAGATCAACTGGCAGATGGAAGATTCTTTCATTGTCTCTCTCTGGGGATGAACCAGCATATGGAAAATTCTCTAATTCTCTCCCTTCCTCTGCTTCTCTCCCTCTCTGGAACTCTGCCTTTCAAATAAATAAATAAATAATTTTTCTTTAAGATTTATTTATTCATTCATTATAAAGTCAGATCTACAGAGAGGAAGATCTTTTGTCCACTGATTCACTCCCCAAGTGGCCACAACAGCCGGAGCTGAGCCGATCTGAAGCCAAGAGCTTCTTCTGGATCCCACGTGGGCACAGGGTCCCAAGGCTTTGGGCTGTTCTCTACTGCTTTCCCAGGCCACAAGCAGGGAGCCAGATAGAAAGTGAAGCTGTGGAGCTGCCTGGATTAGAACTAGTGCCTATATGGGATCCTGGTACACACAAGGCGAGGACTTCAGCCACTAGGCCATCATGCCAGACCCTATAAATAGCTATTTTTTGAAAATGCATCCATCTCAGGGTTCTGGCTTTAGGGTCTGCTTTACATATTTAAAAAAATACAAAGAGGGAAGCAGCATTTAACCAAGTTGTTAAGACCCCCACATCCCACATCAGAGTTCTTGGGTTCAGTTCTTGACTCTTATTACCCTGGGCTCCAGATTCCTGCCAGTGCAGAACCTGAGAGGCAGCGATGATGTCTCGACTCACTGAATTCCTGCCACCCTCATGAGAGACCTATGTTGAGTTAATATCTCTTGACTCCAGCCCAGCACATTTGTTACAGGCAAGTGAGTAGTGAACCAGTGCTGTCTTTCTGTCTCTCCAATAAATAAAAGGAAAGAACAGGAGAAAGGGAGAGAAGGGAAGGTAAAATACAGAGAGAATGCTAGAGGTAAAATGAAGACTCAGGTTAACACTTGACACTCAGTTCAGATTCACAATGGGACCTGGATGGTTGCAGACACAGGTGTCCTGCAGAGAAGCAAGTGAGTTCAGTGCTTGTGCACTTGGCTTAGCATGTGTGCTCAGGTCATATACACTGACCTATAAACTGTCAAGCAGAAAAATCACATCTATCTAGTATGAGCAACGAATGAATCCCTAAACTGCACTACACACTTTATTGTGATAGAGAACATGTAACCTTTGTATCTTTTTATTTCTTGCCTAAACTGCTTCATTACTGTTAGTGAATACTTCGAAATTTTGTTTTCCGAATTCTTATAAATCAAAGTTGTATTTTTGTTACATATGCGTCAAACTTAGAACAGCATATTTTTCGTGCAATTTGATGATTGTCATGTTTATAGTATTTAATCATTTTGTTTATTTTACATAGGAAATGGAATATTTCTATGAAGCTTAATAACATTAAGGCAGTTATTGCATGCTTGGTTTTGATTGTGTAAAAATATAGCTGAACCAGTAGTTTAGATAAGAATACTTCTTACCGCTAGGGGTTGTTACTAGATTTAAATCTACCTGTACAGTTGGTTGGATGAAGTACAAAAATGTTTATAAATAAGGTGACTTTTTTATTAAAATATTAAGTTTCAGTATGTGGAGCTTTCTCAGGCTATATTAACTTTACTACCTCAGCATTAATGTTTTTCTTTTTCCCCATTAGGTGCCTGCATTATTGCATACTGGCGATATGGTTCATGGCTGGGAGCAATCAGTTGTCCAATCTGTAGACAAACGGTAATGTTTGCTGGCAAGAAAGTATCATTTATGCTATTTCAGCTTATAAATTTTTGTTTTATTTTTAAATCTTATATTATTTTGATTTTTTTTAGAAACTCATATATCCAAAGTTTATGTGATATTAGTGATTATTTTTTAAACTTGGTTAAAAGTAACACCAAGGGTCCCATGTATGTCCTGGCTGTTTAGGACTCTCACATGCGTTATCCAGGTCCCCAGGCTTGCATCTCAACTTGCTCTCAGACCCAACTTCCTGCTAATGGGAAGCCACAAATGACAGCTGGGGTCGCTGGACCCCTGCCACCTACATGGGAGACCTTGCCTTGGCCTGACCTATCCTGGGCTGCTGTGGGCATTTGAGGTGTGAACCAGCAGATAAGGAATCTCTCGCCATCTGCTCGTTTTTTAAATAAATAAAAATTTCAAAAGACATCAGAAAAAAAGGAAATTCTATCGGGGAAATTCTATCCCTCGTCCCACGAGCAAGACCCCATACAGTAAAGATTCTTTGAAAAGTTTATTTCTTAAGACTTCAAGTGTAGTTACAAAGAAAAAAAACAGTTACAACAGTTTTAAGATTTATTACAGCAAAGTGAAAGCCGCTACAGCCTAGCGCTAGTGATAGCAGCTACAACATAGCCTTGAAGCGATAGCCTTAGCTCTAGCAGCTCTAGCCTTTGAAGCGCGCCTGGGAGAATCTCCTCTTAACTATTTTTTACCCAGACCTTTTTACATTACACAAACCAATCCATACACAGTTCCTCACATCATGTGGTAAGCACACCAGTCATAACTTAGGTCACGTAGCTTCCTTGCGTGCTCGGCCCAATCCTCAGTAACTTCCCAAAACCTGTTTACCACCTTTGTGCCACGAAGCAATGGTCAACAAGCGCCATCTTTGAGGCGCGGCTCCGCTCTCCACAAATTCTATTTGGAAACCTGTGATTTTAGGGGAAAAAAAACTTGTTGCATAAGTCTTTCTAAGATTGCAGTATTTTCTGCAATACCAAGAAAGAAAGTACTAAACTAGCTAGTCAAGCATAATCATGTATATCCCATATACACTTCTTTTGGGACAAGTGTGCTTTCTAAATTATATATATTTTTTCTTTCCTTCTTTTTTTAAATATTGTTTACAAAGTTGAGAGGGATACATACCCGGGGGAGGCCTCCAGTTCAGGTGGGGAAACTTAAGATGTGGAGGAGGGTGGATAGGACAAATGTTTCAGTTCTTTTTCTTTCTTTTTTCTACCAGTGTCCCCGGCAGTAAGGGGCAGGGGGTCACCTCTCATTGTCAAACTACTCACCACCCTAGGATGGGGTATAGTCATTTGATGATGCCCTAGAGACCCCCAATGTGGGGAAGAGTATTCTGAGGGTGTTACCTTAGTGATTCTGATAGTTCTGAGAGATTGTCGGTTTTGCTGCTCCAGGGTTAAGAAAATCTACCCAGTGTCACTTGGCTGACCAGTTTCACCTTAGGGCATCCACAGACTTGGGAACATGCTGCAAAGCTTGGCCAGGAGAGTTGTTCAACCTCTTCTGCTTTCCATCCTCTGAGAGGCACTTGATGTCCCCTGCTGGCCTGGATGAGCTGGCTGTTATGTCCCCTGTGTGCTTCTGGGCATGCTGTCCACTGCACAGGCATCAGCAGCTGAGGAGGCCTAGTCCTGATACATGCACTCCAAGGTCAGACTGCATATCTGGTGATTTCCCCTGTGGCCAGGGCCTAAGTGCAATGGTCTAGCTGGGGAGTCCCCTAATAAACCTTGCCTGGGGTGACCTCAGACTTGTCTTTTGTGCACCAGCCAGTGCAGGCTCAGGTGTGATCTGTGCCAATGATACATACCAGTGGATGTGGCTGACTGGTCAGTTTTGCTCCAGCCCCATCTCTTGTGAACTGACAGACATTATGACCTAGCCCAGTCAACCCACCGCAGGCCTGGTCTTCATGCACACCAGAAGGGTTATGTAGCCCATACATGGCAACCTCCAATTACCAGGCCTGCCCCCAGCCCTAGTTTTTGTATGTGCCAGAATGTGCTACAGCCTAACTTGGCCTGTCCCATATCATATTTTGTTCTCGTGTACACCCATTTGTGTTGTGGCTTAGCTCAGCCCAATCTGGTCTACACGTATACCAAGTGGTGCTGCTGCCTTGTCCAGCCTGGTCCGCCCCCAGCCCTGGCTCTTGTGCTCACCAGTGGTAGCTGCAGCCCAGCAGGAGAGTGTTAAATTTATATTTAATCTTCCCTCTTCCAGTGAGGGTTGAGTTATTTTTAAATGATGTAAATAATTTGTAAGTATTTCATTTCTTTTAAAGACATAGCCATGTTGTATTGTTCAGAACACACTGATCTTTACTTTTTTCTTTTTTTTAAATAAAGAGAAGGTGATGAGATCACTGGCTTACCTGGCCCATGTTCAGGGATGAAGTGGGGCCAGGATGGGAAAGCCTTCCAGCCTGTGTTCCAGGAAGGAGAAAGTGTCACTCCAGTAAATGTGCCTGGGGCGGGGTGGTTACATGATACCACCCTCCAAGTCCCTGGAGAACACACTGTGTCTTTATAGCTGGTATAGAAAACACCTTAAGAGGAAGACAGTGAGTTGCTGTAAATGTAAATTGCAGGAGTAAAATGACAGCACAATTGAGATATGCCAAATTTTCCCAATTTCTTTAACAAACCGAAGAAACATAATAGTGACATATTCTAAGAAACCAGAGTTCTTTGTGGTTTTTTTTTATTATGGCAAAACAGTGCATTGCACTAGTTATATGATTTTTCATAATTACTTTTTTATTTAAAGATTTGTTTATTTTTATTGGAAAGTCAGATATACAGAGAGGAGGAGAGAGGAAGATCTTCCGTCTGATGATTCACACTCCAAGTGACTGCAACGGCCAGTACTGTGCCCATCCAAAGCCAGGAGCCAGGAGCCTCTTCTGGATCTCCCACACAGGTGCATGGTCCCAAGGCTTTGGGCCATCCTTGATTACTTTCCCAGGCCACAGTAGGGAGCTGGATGGGAAGTGGAGCTGTCGGAATTAGAACCGGCGCCCATATGGGAACCTGGCACATTCCAGGCAAGGACTTTAGCTGCTAGGCCACCGCACCAGGCCTCATAATTACTCTTTTTTTTAGAAAGATGTATTTATTTTTTGGGAAAAGCAGATCCACGAGAGAAGGAAAGCAGAGGGAAAGATCTATTCGCTGGTTCACTCCTCAGATGCCTGTGATAGCCAGAGACGAAGTGATCAGGAGCTCCTTCCGGGTCTCTCACACAGGTGCAGAGTCCATGGCCTTAGGTCATCCTCTGCTGCTTTCCCAGGAAGCAATCAGGAAGCTAGATGGGAAGTGGAGCAGCCAGGACACAAACCAGCACCCATATGTGACCACAGTGCCTGCAAGGCGAGGATTCAGCCACTTAGCCACCGTGCCAGGCCCAATTACCTTTATATTTGTTTCACCTAAAATAAGATTAAATTCTTTTCTGGGGATAGTTTATGAATAGGTAAAAGACAACATTTCCTAAAGGAGCTTTCCAAAGTGCAAAATAAATAGGGCTGTCCAGTGAGGATGACATCATACACTAACTTTTGTTACCTCTTGAGACCACACTGAAACAATAGGAAAGGCCATTTTGTGTAGGCCTAATCCCACAAAGACAAAGCACAGAAAAGTCCAGCATTTTTTCAAGAATCTCTGTGAAATAGCCATTTAGAAAAACTCACAGAACAAAGACACAAGCCCGTTGAGGTGTCACAAAGCAACAGTTTGGTAATCACCATGCAGATGAAAGACTGGAAATGGCCCCAGGTCTCCTCCACGCTCTCCATCCCTTAGGCCTCCCTCAGATACAGCATGGTAAACATCGCCTGAGTCTAGCTAGTAGGTTTTTTTTTTTTTTATAATGTCTTTATATTTTTATTTGAAAGGCAGATCATATACAGAGAAGAGAGACAGGATCTTCCATCTGCTAGCCCCCTAATGGCTGCAATGGCCACAGGTAAGCTGCTCCAAAGCCACGAGCCAAGAGCTTCTTCCGGGTCTCTCCCACATGGTGCAGGACCCCAAGGTTTTGGGCCATCTGCTTTCCCAGGCCACAAGCAAGGAGCTGGGTGGGAAGTAAAGCAGCCAGAAGTACTTGTACAGGTACTTGTATGGGATCCTGGCGCTTTCAAGGTGAGGATTTAGCCACTGAGCCACCGTGCTGGGCCCTAGGGGCAGTTCTGTTCTCTCAGCATCATCTCCCAGATGAGGGTTTAGCTTTGTCTGATTTTTGAACTTTATGTAAATAAAACCATAAGGTATGTATTGTTTTATGCACATGTGTGCACACACACATATATACAAATACATGTACATGTCCATGTGGGTAGGTATGTGCTCCTTCCATCCATATTACTGCGTTGCTGCCCTTTCCTTTTTTGGGAGCAGGGGATGATCGCTGCAGAGATTTCCAGGTCTTTCTCTTCTTTCTCTCTTTGCTTTTCCATTCCCAAATTCTTTCTCATTCACATTTGACTTTTTATCACATGGTGAGGAGAAAAACTGATTTTGTTGTTATTATTGAACTTCCTTCCTAGCCAGTTTGTTTTGTGTCATAAGGCAGTCAACACTGAACATCTCCAGCATCACTGGATCTTACCATAACATCATCTCTTACCACTGTTTGCCATCTGCCAGCAACATTAAGAGCAGTTAGTTAAGTCCTACATGAAAAAAATCAGCCTTCCCACTGCCCCCACCGTCCCTTCTTATGGAATCCACCTGTGTGTTATCAGGTGTTATCCCTTTGTGCCATCCTAAGCTGACCAGAGTCTGTAAGGTAGAGAGAAAACTAAGTCACTAATACAGCTGTGGGCTCATCGAGGAGGCAAGACAGATGGCCTGTATCTGCTCCACTGCCTGATCCACTGGGTCACGGGAATAATGCACAGGCTGCCACCTCTGACTGCTCCCCAGGGCTCAGCTGCCAGTTTCAGGCATCCTCCCCTTTCATCTGGGGGTGTGGTCACATAGGAGGAGGACCGCAGCTTCCTTTTGTTTGTTTACCTAGTACTTCCCAGAGAACCTGGCCCAATAATCATCAGTCGCTGCATGTTTAACCAGTCTGTGATGAAGACCTGGCAGAGTTTGTGCTGCTCCACTGACTGCACAGTCATGCCTTTAATGAGTGCTTGGGAAGCACCTGAGCCGGGGGCAGGCTTGAGGAAAGACGGAATCCCAGCTGATGCCTTCTAACTCCGTCTGCTACTACTCCCATTTTTGGGAGCTCATAGAAATATTCAGTGACCATTTTCTGTGGGAGTGTGTTCTGATTTAAACTGTTTATGTCATATTATCCCAACACTGTCCTGGGACATTTTTTTATGTCTTTATCACAACTGTAGAGGAAGAAGGGTTAAACATAATGTGTTTATAACAGAATTATATTTTAATTGCCCTAGGGAGAGCTAGGCCACAGCACCAGCTGGCAAGTGCTGGGACTGAGTGCGAATCATTTCAGGCTGGACCACAGTACACCCTTGGCAGGCACAAGATCCAGAGCTGGGAACATGCCTGACAGGAGAGCTGTGGGCACTCCGCTGCTAACCTGTATTTATTGCTGGTGAGCACAAGAATCAGAACTGGGAGTGGGCCGGACTATACAAGGGTGCAGCACCTGTTGGCATACCTTAGGGCCAGGTCTGGGGGGCAGGGCAGACTGAGCTAGACCACAGCACAATGCTTTGGGACCCTGCACCCGTGTGGGAGACCTGGAAAGAAGTTCTTGGTTCCCGGCTTCGGATCGGCACAGCACCGGCCCTTGTGGTCACTTGGGGAGTAAATCACCAGACAGAAGATCTTCCTCTCTGTCTCTCCTCTCTGTATATTTGACTTTGTAATAAAAATAAATAAATCTTTAGGAAAAAAAAAAAAAGAGGCTGGCATGCAGAAAACCAGGGCTGGGGACAGTCTTGGTAGGCATTAGTAGGGGTTGCCACAGCTGGGCCTTAGAAACTGCTAGTATGAGAACCAGGTGTGTGGCAGTTTGGCTGGGTTAGGCCCCAGCACCCTTTGGTTTGCATAAGATATGAAGCTGGGGCAAAACTGAGCAGGCAGCTGCCAGTGTGTACAGGTGATAGCCCACACCTGCCCCTGCACTGGCTGGTGACAAGTCTGAGGTCAGCAAACAAGGGTTCCTGGGAGACTGACCACTGGACTCGAACCCTGGCTATGGGGAAAAATCACAAGATACGTGGTCTGACCTTGGAGAACATGTATCGGGACTGGGACTCTTCAGCTGCTAATACCTGTGCAGTAGACAGGATGCCAAGATGTATGTCAGGGATATGATGTCCAGCAGAGAACATCAAGTGCCTTGTCAAAGGATAGAACATAGAACAGGTTAGACAATTCTGGCCAAGCTTTGTACCGTGTCCTAAGTCTGGATGCCCTAAGGTGGAGCCGGTCAGCCAACTGACCTTAGAAAGATTTTCTTAATCCCAGAGCAACAAAACCTGCAGCGGCTCAACCTATACTTGAGTGTCACTGAAGTGATACTCTTCCCCACATCAGAGTCTCTAGGGTGTCATCACAGGGCCATCCCCTAACCCCTGGTGCTGGTGTGACTGACAGCAAGGAGCAGCCCCTTCCCCATATCCCATGCTATCACAGGAAAAAAAGAAAACAAACCTGAAGCATATGTCCTACCCACTTCCTCCCTGCCTAACCCTCCCCACCCTAATATGTGCATGCCCTACATGGGTGTGCACCCCTCTCACTATATAAACAATGTCAACAAGATGGCTCAGTGGCTGAATCCTCACCTTGCAAACACCAGGACACTGGTTCATGTCCCAGCTGCTTCACTTCCCATCCTACTCTCTGCTTGTGGCTTGGGAAAACTGTAGAAGATGGCCAAAAGCTTTGGGACTCTGCACCCACATGGGCGACCTGGAAGAGGCTTCTGGTTCCTGGCTTTGGATTGGCTCAACTCCAGCCACTGGCTGCTTGGCAAGTAAACCAGTGGATGGAAAACCTTTCTCTGTGTATCTCCTCCTCTCTGTAAATCTGCCTTTCTAGTAAAAATAAACAAATCTTTGAAAAATAATAAAAGGGGTCTGGCATGGAAGCCTAGTGGCTAAAATCCTTGCCTTGCATGCACTGGGATCCCATATGGGTGCCAGTTCTAATCTCAACAGCCCCAGCTTCCCATGCAGCTCCCTGCTTGTGGCCTGGGAAAGTAGATGAGGACAGCCCAAAGCCTTGGGACCTTGTACCAGCGTGGGAGACCTAGAAGAGGCCCCACGCTCCTGGCTTCGGATTGGCTCAGCTCCGGCCATTGCTGCCCCTTGGGGAGTGAAACATCAGATGGAAGGTCTTCCTTTCTTTTTCTCCTCCTCTATGTATATCTGACTTTCCAGTAAAAATAAATCTTAAAAAAAATTTTTTTTAAAGAATTCAAATAGGGATAATTTAAATAAAATAATTTAAACGAAGTATTTAATAAAAATTTTAAAAGTGAAATATTGAGAAGCTTTGATTGGATAAAGATAAAATGAATAAAACTAATGCAAGTGTTGTAACGAATTTTTTTCTGTTTATCCAGGTGACTTTGCTTCTGACAGTCTTTGGAGAAGAGGATCAGTCTCAGGAAGTTATACAGTTGCGTCAAGACATTAATGATTATAACAGGAGATTCTCAGGGCAGCCCAGATCTGTAAGTACTGGTGAAGCGGGTGCAAAATTAGAAGGAGCTGTATACTCTTCTTGTAAGATTTCCTGTCAGATATCCAAGTTTTTACTTTCATGGTTGTTAATAACTTTCCCAGAGACTACCTTTTTCTTTTTTAACCAAGAAATGGACACAGGAAAAAAAAAAGTTATGAAAGGAACTAGCAAACAGGCAATAGGTAAAATTGGATGGAAAGAGAAAACTAACTCCTGTTATGATTCTAAATCAGTTTGCCTTGTGGGAAAATTTCCAGTGGAAAACTTATGGGGAGAATTTTACTGTTTTGTTTATTTTGGACCATTTGAAATGTTCCTGTAAATAACTATCTCAGGGAATTATTTCATATTAGCTCCTTAACAGCATCCTGTTCCAACAAACACAGTAATTCTACAGTGAACTTCCCTGACATTTTACTGACTTATTTTCCTCAGAATCTTGAATGATTCTAGAATTATGTGTATGGCTGAGTGTGTACTTTAAAAACGAAACTGTGCTAAGCCAGTATTGCTAAGGGAAGCTGGACCTGAGCCCTGAGCTCTGTGCTTCGTGGGCCCAGCTGCCCTGCACCCACTTCCTCAGACTTCTCATGCCTACGCCTTCCTCCTGGACAGTGTCCGAACTTGGATTTCTTTTTCTCTCTCGTTCTCCTTTCCTGGTCTGTGAGTCAGTCCACCGTTGTTGGCCTTCTATCTCCTGGCTGTCCTGTTACTGTTTTCTCATAAGGACACCGTGGCTACAAGCCAGGATGTGCCCATAGTCTCGCGTGGGAGAACTACAGCGGCCTCCTCTCGTCTACCTTTTTCCTCTGGATAGGAGCTAAAGAAATAGTTACAAGAAATGAATCTGACCCTGATGCTCTGGTGCCTTCACAGTGTGACAGCCTGTTACCACAGTTTCCAAGGCTCTGCCTGACCTTCCTCTCAGCTCAGAACGCTCAGGTTCAATGCTTAAAGGCCTGCACACATGGCATTTCTCCTGCTGGGAATGCTTTATCCCTCTGCTGTTGTCTGGCTTCCCCTGGTAGCCCACCATGGTCCTGTCACTGCCCTCTGCACACTCCCAGTAGGCTCTCATCACTGGCAGGATTTGAATCTTGTCAATTATCATCCACTCAGTAGACTAAAAGCTGCAGGAAGGCAAGGACTGTGTTTAATTCTTCACCACTCTATTGCTAATATGAAACACCAGGAATATAGGCCCTTAACACTGGTTAAATAAGTCAGCATGTTACTTTTAAGAATTGATACTACTGGGCCCAGTGCAATAGCATAGTGGGTAAAGTCCTTGCACTGCACGTGCCAGGATCCCATATGGGTGATAGTTCTAATCCCGGTGGCCCCGCTTCCCATCCAGCTCCCTGCTTGTGGCCTGGGAAAGGAGTTGAGGACAGCCCAAACCCTTGGAGACCGGAAGAAGCTCCTGGCTTCTGGCTTTGGGAGTGAACCATCGGATGGAAGATCTTCCTCTCTGTCTCTCCTCCTCTTTGTATCTCTGACTTTCCAATAAAAACAAAAAAAATCTTAAAAAGAAAAAAGAATTGATACTACTGCTCCCAGCCAAAAACAATAAGCTCTTGGTCCTTGTTTAGTGATGCCATATATGTTAGGTGCCCCAACAACAGGAAAAAGTTCGTTCAATTGCTGTGGTCTTCCTCAGCCTCTTCTGCTATTTTTGATCTGTTAGTAGTTTGTTTACTTATTTATTTATTGTTTTACCTGTCCTTCAGTGACACCTGTAGAATGATTCTTTGAAGATGAAACCTGTTTCAAATTCAGCAACCATCCCTGGACTTTAAAAAGTCATTTTGATTCTCATTGGTATTTTCTTTTAAGATTTTTTTTTTTTATTGCAAAGTCAGATATACAGAGAGGAGGAGCAACAGAGAGGAAGATCTTCTGTCTGATGATTCACTCCCCAAGCAGCCGCAATGGCTGGAGCTGAGCTGATCCAAAGCTGGGAGCCTGGGGCCTCTTCTGGGTCTCCCACATGGGCGCAGGGTCCCACGGCTTTGGGCCATCCTCAGCTGCTTTTCAGGCCACAAGGAACTGGATAGAAAGAAGGGCCGCTGGGACCAGAACTGGCGTCCATATGGGATCCCGGCACATTCAAGGCGAGGACGTCAGCCAGTAGGCTATTGTGCTGTTCTTCTCATTGGTATTTTAAAATGAGAAGCAAACTGTTGCAACTATTGCTAAGTTTTTAAAAATAGATTTATGATAATTAGTAAGAAATCCTGGTAGGTCATGAAATTATTATGAAGACATTTAGTTATTTGACATGCTTAATTATTCACACATTTCTTAGCAAATCATTTCACTTTAGCTTAAGTAATGACACTATATCAGAAATGAACAAAATAGCTCAGATAATGGACTGACAGGTTTTCAACAGACTAGCTAGCTGCTGGTTAGGACACCTGAAATGGTATGTAGCCAGAGCCAGATACCTGCATTCAGTTCCTGGCTCTGGCTCCATTCCAAGCTTCCGGCTTCCTGGGAGGCACTGGAGAAGGCTGAAGGCATCGAGGTAACTGTCACCCATGTGGGAGACCTGGTCCAAATCCAGCTCCACGCATTTGGGAAATGAACCAGAAGATAGAAGGGTGTCTGCCTCTCAAACTTTCAAAAAGAAAATTAACATAGGAAGTAATTTGTATATAGGTTATTTCTGTTATTTTATGAACAGGTTCCCAAAATGAGTTACAAGGTTTTCATCAAGCAATGTTTAAAACCTTCTCCTTATTTGTTAAATTCTTCCCATTTTTGTCTCCTAACTCTGATTCAGCTTACTTTGTAAAAATTAAAAATTATCTATTTATTTATTTGAATGAGTTACAAAGAGAGGGGGGAGATACAGAGAGTGCGTCCATCCACTGGTTCACTCCCCAGATGGCCACAGCAGTCAGGGCTGAGCCAGGAAGTGACAAGGGCCATTAGCAGAGCTGGATTGAAAATGAAGCAGCTGGGACAAACACCAGCATCCGTGTGGAATGCCAGCATTGTAGGTGGCAGCTTTATCCACTGTCACAATGGCAGCCCCCATTTTGTACTTCATAAATAAAATATATACACAGATTTGTATTTATGGTTTTTTATACAGATTGTTGTAAGCAGAGGAAAGATCAGAAAAGGTGACAGACTGTAAGGAACCAGTCACTGCTGTTGTTAAGCAGCTCACGAGTCTTTCATGTGTAATACTTTTATGTTGTCTGGCAGTTTATGAAGACCCTTCATATACATTCTCTCTTTTAGCTCTTTATTGCCCTTGTTAAACAAGTGTTTCATCAGGATCACACAGCACATTATGACTGAATTCAAACCTAGATGTGACTTTAACGCTGAGGCCTGAGTGTAAGCCTCACAGGCTAATTACAAATGCCATAGGTTCTGGATTTGGTTTATTTAACTAACTCACATTAGAGATAACTTGAGTTCTGTATTACTGTATTGAATATTTCTAGCTTGTTGCCTTTGGTTGCTTTATAATGATCTGCAATAAGACCTATTTTATAAGGGCCTGGTAATCAAAGAACTAATTTTAAATAAAATGCATAATTAGCAAATAGGGTGGTCACCAATTCATAAAACTCATTTATCCTGAGTTTGTATACTGTAAAAAAAAGTATCATTCTGCAAACTGACACATTAGATGCTAAATTATATCTGTTTTTCCTCCTACCAGATTATGGAGAGAATCCTGGATCTCCCCACTTTGCTGAGGCATGCATTCAGGGAAATGTTTTCAGTCGGGGGCCTTTTCTGGATGTTCCGCATTAGGATTATACTTTGCTTAATGGGAGCTTTTTTCTATCTCATCTCACCTCTGGATTTTGTACCTGAAGCCTTGTTTGGAATTCTAGGTTTTCTAGATGATTTCTTCGTCATCTTTTTGTTGCTTATATACATCTCCATTATGTATCGAGAAGTGATAACCCAAAGGTTAACCAGATGAAAAAAGATGAGTTTACTAGCACATGTGAGCTAATGCACAAAATCAGACAAAAAAACCCCACAGCAATTTAATATGTTTAAATATTATCTTACAAGCTTAAAACCATTGTGTCACGAACATTTAATTATTATTTGACAAATGCTTGGTACTATACAACTGGAATTTTTTACATGTTGCAGGTTTGAATGTTAAAGTTAGAACTGTAATGCTCTACAATTATATCTTAAATCTGTCCTATCTATTAAATCTTGGGGGAAAAAACAGAATTATATAAAAGGGATACTTTTATATCTTTTTAATGCCCCCAAATTACTTAAGATTGGATATACAGTAGCATGCTATTAAATGTGCAGTTTATCCAATTTATCCTCCTCAATGGGTACCTATACAATATAGCTATCAAACTGAAGTATTTTTTGCTACAATAAAATATAAAATATTGGAGAAAAGTCAGTGTTTCTCTAAGAGCTAGCTGTTTTGTGCATTGGGAGCAGTTCTGCTTTTTCTATTCTGATATAAGTCTGTCATCAGCTGAAAGCGAAAGAAGAAACTTGAACTTCATAGCTTGATCTCACATCCTGGTTTACAGAACACCTTTTCATCAATAGAAGAACGAAGAAGATGAGAATCATTTCTTCCCAGTCAACACACACTTGATGTTCACAGTTACAACACTTCCACAAGAGTGTGGTCCTTCTAAAGGAGTAGATAGAGAAGTAACGCGTAAAGGCAAGTGTAGGAACCTCAGTGACCTAGTAGCCCGGGGGGACCTGCAGGCCCCCGGTGCGCTAAGGAATGGGCCAGGAGCATCATCTTCAGTTTGGCAAGAGAAATTTCTGATTTGCTTTAGCAGCAGAAATGTCAGATTTGGCTAGTTTTTATTTTAAGAAAACTGTTACACAATACTCTCATCACAGCTTATACAGAATGAGACAGACCTGAATAAGAAACATTTCTTTCTGGAACTATGGCCTCAGTCTCTAATATTCCCTTCTGCAATTTCCTGTTTGAGAAGAACCGATACCACAAATGCTGCTACGCTTCCTGCAGCAGGAATTGCTCGCTAGTGAATGGCCCAAGGGTCAGTGTTAGCTGCCTCTTCCCAAGTCACTGCTGCGGACAGCGTTTGTTGTTAGCAAGTCCCACAACCTGCAGACCAGGGTATGAATCCTTCACAGTCTCCCAGGTCCATCCCATTGATATCAACTCACAAGGCTCTAAGTGGAACAGTTTATATTTTCTAATTTGGACATGAAATGAACCTGTTGCCTGTCACAGGAAAACTGTAATGCTTAAGCATAGCACATTATGATTAAGGCCCCATCTTCCCTACCTTCTGTTTTATCCTTATGATAAAATATTCTGAGCAAGGCAAGGCAAGCCTCACCTTCACAGATGAAATTGCCATACTCTTGATGTTGCAGCTGCCTGAAGTCACATGAGTGTTCCTTTTGTAGGACTTCTTGCTTTGGATGGTAGGCAGATAGGAAGAGGAGCAGCAGGAGGCAGGAAGTGAGACCTGCAGTGTTTCATAATGCATTGTCCCTTCATTGCGGCTCAGGTGGCCTCAGGTGGAAAGCTGTAGACAACTTTGTGGATCCCAATGCTACCCTTCCATGCCAAGTGTCTGCCAGAGTGACACACTTCACAAATACATGTGTCAGCTGGGGATTGAAAAGCTGAGGGGCGGGATGTTGCATCACCACTCAATAGCATAGAAATGAATTTCCTGCCAATTATAAATCTGGACTGGGGCTACAGTAGTGTCGCTTTTCTGAACGGATTTTCTGTGCTCATGTTTTGCTCCAGGTGCCAACATTTTTGGTTTCAATAATTATTACAATATCTGGAATGACCACCAGCCTTCCCCTCCCTGGTAGAAGCATATGGTACCAAAGTGAAAAGGGTTCCTGCTGGTATTTCAGTCTTAGATCTGCAATTATGTCATTTTTCCTGATTACTGATAAATGCAGAAGTGATCTGAGAGAGTATTAAAGCAAGTACAGTGAATCAGTGTTTGCAAACATTGTCATAATTTTCAACTTTAGAGTTAGATCATGTAAGTCAAAGTGACAAATCAGGTTTTTCTTTTTTTGAAACTGCAATATTGTAACTGTTAAAAAAACAGATGGTCTGAGCCCAGGAGCAGGTACCAGGCAGCTCTGTGGGGAACAGTGGCTTCAGGCGTTCCAATGGATGCACTTGAGGGGATGGGGAAGACAGGGCTTGTGGCCATTCCTTGTGGCTGCGCAGATACCTACCTCACAGAGCTGTTGCAGAGGAGTGGCAGCTTGGTTCAAACTGTGTGATTTATTCTTTTGAATAAAAGTGATGTACCTTAAAATTTCTAAATTGTGTGGAGTTTTTTTGTTTGTTTGCTTGCTTGGATGTTGTCTGGTTTAAAATTCAAACCTCCCTGGCCCAGTACAGTAGCCTAGTAGTTAAAGTCCTTACCTTGCTCACATTAGGATCCCATATAGGTGCCGGTTAGTATCCTGGCAGAAGGTCAGAAAGAGATGGAAAAGACCTTTAAGAACAATTTGAAACTCCCAATATAATGCCAATTCCTTACGATACACAGTAACTGGGTGGGAACACAGAGAAATCTCTCATTTCCCTTGGAAAAGCTAGGAATCCACGTAGTGTAACTTGCAGGAACTGGATAAGTATCTTAAAGTTGATAGATCCAGATCAGCATTAGACAATAGCAAAAGCTATAATGACACACAAGGGGACTTAGGAACGACCTAAACAGTCTATTAACAGGTGGTCATATGCACAGAATAAGGGAGAACCCCAGAGCGGAACAGAGGGACTGGAGGAGGCTTATCCCCCACCCACAAGGACTCCTGGACTCCCACCAAGGTCTATCAGAACGGACACAAGAACGTCAACACAACTGCCAAAGAGAAAACGGGGATCTGGAATGCTTCCGAATGCTGTGAACCCAGAGGACAGACATCCCCCCTCTTTGGACAAACTACACGAGATGGAAGAAGCCCGAGTCCTTCCACATAGGAACCAACGACATCAGAACAACAACTAGGAACCACGATCGGTCAGCAGAACAAGAAGATCAACAAACTTCCGGCGGGACAATGGGGGAGGAACCTTCTCCAGTCCGTACCTAGTTCCAGCTCTGGGCCTCCACCCCCTATAATGACCAACAAGGTTCCTCCTAACCCCCTTGCCCCCCTTCACACACACACACACACACACACACACACACACACACACACACACATATACACACACTAATAGGATGAGATAACCAAAGAACAATAAAGATAGGTCATCAAGGACTCACTCATGTACTATTAGATGGAACATAAAGAACAAGTATTCATTAGCAAGGTATGAGAGATTTCTCTGCAACACCCCCCAAAATCGTTGCACACCTCAATTGAGGAGGTGACATTGAAATAGTTGTAGAAGGTAATCAAGAACTTACATGTAATTTTAACATATTGTCTACCCAATACTATGTCAGACATCTAATGTAGGCCTTGATTTAACCTGTAATTCATGCTTGGTTGATTGTTACTTTTTGAACCTGTCACTGAAACTGTCTAAACCCAGAAGTTTTGAAGAATTGAACTTTTTTTTTTTTTTTAACATATTGTTCACTCAATACTATACTAATTAATCCCATAACATTGGATATTGACGCTGATGTTTTGTTGGGGGTTTTGACTGACCGGAACTTTACTCTGTCAGCTCTGCCTTCAGACCAGAGAAGGTCTTCCCAAGAGGCCACTGAACTTATCTGGACAATGGGACACTGGACTTTATGCTGGGTATATGCTTACAATGAAGGAATTTCAACTGAACTTGAACCGCGGTTATGCAGCAAGGTGGAGGAATCCACTATGGGAGGAGGGGGGTGGGAGGGGTGGGGGGGACTCCCCAGTGCTTACAAAACTGTATCACATAATGCAATGTTAATAACAAATAAAAAAAATTGTATAACCAAAAAAAAAAAAAAACCAATTTGAAGGGCCCGGCATGGTGGCGCAAGTGGTTAAGGTCCTCGCCTTGCATGCCCGGGATCCCATATGGGCGCCGGTTCTAATCCCACCTGCCCTGCTTCCCATCCAGCTCCCTGCCTGTGGCCAGGGAAAGCAGTCGAGGACGGCCCAAAGCTTTGGGACCCTGCACCCACGCGGGAGACCCAGAAGAATCTCCTGGCTTCTGATGGGCATAGTATCGGCCGTTGTGCTTACTTGGGGAGTGAATCATTGGACGGAAGATCTTCCTCTCTGTCTCTCCTCTCTGTATATCCGCCTTTCCAATAAAAAAAAAAAAAAACAACAATTTGAAGCCCAGGAAAATAGGCTGTTTATGGAAGGCATAGCAGAGCTCACCCATGCAAAACACGTTGATCCATAGCCTACAGTATAGGCATCCCATATGGATGCCAGTATAGGAGTCGGCTGCCCAACTTCTAACCCAGCTCCCTGTTAATGCCCCTGGGCACTCATGTTGGAACTCCGGAAGTTCCTGGCTTCTGGCTCCCACTGGCCCAGCTCCAGCTGTGGCCATTTGGGGGATGAAGCCCTGGATGGATCTGTCTCGCTTTCTCTGTAATTACTATTTTTTTTTGTAACTACTTTTCAAATAAATTTTTAAAAAATATTTATTCCTTTTTTATTGGAAAGAGATTTACAGAGAGGAGAGACAGAAAGATGTTCCATCTGTTGGTTCACTCCCAAGTGGCCACAACTGCCAGGGCTGAGTTGGTCATAAACCCAAAAGTCAGTAACTACTTCTTCAGGCGCCCCCCCCCCCCCGTGGATGCAGGGTCCCGGGGCTTTGGGCCATCCTCTACCACTATTCCAGGTCACAAGAAAGGGGCCTGGAAGGGAAATGGGGCAGCCAGGGTATTAACCGTTGCTTCTATGGGATCTCGGTGCATGCAAGGCAAGGGCCGCCCTCAAATAAAAATTTTTTAATGAAAGAAATGAAAAGGGATGGATTTAAGAGGTATTTACTCTAAAAGTTAACATGGCCATCAATGGGTTCTAACACTCCAGTTTCTGGTTTGCAT